TTCTCCTCCTATATATGCTTCATCACATGTACATTTGGGCTTGTTTTAGATGAATCCAGTAATATCTCAAGGTCACAATCTTATCCCCCATCCCTATCCATGGGTCAAGAGGCCATGTACTATATTTGGGAGGAAATAAAAATCTTGTGATGTCATCTTGCTCAGTCCTCTATTGAGGCTGAATATGCTCCTATTGCCTTTGCTGCGGCTGAGCTTATATCGGCGAAATGCCTGCTTACCGAACTGCACCTTACTTCCCTGTCCACCACTCCTACATAATGACAAAGTTCGAGTGACTATCTTGTTTCTAGTCCTGTTTTTCAGTCTAGAATGAAAATTTTGGCTGTGGGTTATCACTTTGTTCAAGAAACGAATTAATTTTCTTCAACTCAAGGTGTCATAGAATTTGACTTATGATCAAATAGCAAAGGCTATCAATTACTGATTTAGTGATTTTGAAGTGCCTCAGCATAAAACTGAAAATTCTGCGGACTATCTTATCCAGTGCATAACAACGACAATTTAAAAGACAACTAAAAGTTGGTACAGTGAATTCAAGAGTGATCCATTCTAGACTTGGAGATTTCTTCCTTCCTGGTCGGCGTGAGAGGTTAGTGACAGTACTCCTAGTGTTTCATTATAGTTTCATGAAAGTACTTGAGAAATTTTGACTATTTTTAACTGCTTCTCTCTCCTAGTATACTCGTTTCCTCAATACAAAGCTCATATTCAGTGCTAAATTCTTTCCCAAAAAAAAAAAAACACCAGATTAAAATTTAAGAAATCAAAGTACCCAAGTAACATTATCTACTCAATAGTTATCAATAATGTAAAAGAAAAAAAAAACATCGAATCGATCTCATATATAAAGTGGATGCCAAAACCAGTGACCTAAACAAAATTACCAACAAATCACTAATAGCTCAACTGATGAATTACCTTGAATTGCTGTTGGCTCTTGGGGCTGAGCGAGGAGCTGATGACCGGAACGCTTGACCACCAACTCTACCACCCGTTTTAGCAGCTGATGCATCAGCAACTGAGCCCAGAATCAACACCCCAGCTGCCAATGTCACTATTGCTAGCTTTGCTAACTGCTTCTCATTTCTCCTATAGAAAAATCCAGCATCCAAAGACAATCCTCAGTCATAGAACACAATAAGATTCTAAGAATCAAAGAATAAAAAAGAAAAAGTGAGATGCATGGAAATTAAGTACTAGGCAGAATCTTTGCGGTCGTCTGACTGGTACCTGCAGGAGATGAAAGTAGCAGAATTGAGAGGCTTGGTTTTGGGTTTGTGAGTAAATGTAAAAGCATTGGTCAGGAAACTTTGTTGAGATGATGATGCAATGGACATTTTTGGTTTCTTACAAGAAAATTTGAGTTTGGAGATTAGTTCTGGTGAGCGTCGGGCAATGATCTGTTTTCATTAGTTTTTATTGAACCTTATATAAACTGCAGCATAGGCCAGTGTTCCTGAGATTTTTGTTCATCCTTATCCATGATACGGGGATTGCAAGAATACGAGAAATGCTCCGTTCAGATAATCTATCTCATGCCTATGTTTCCAAATTCAATATTCTTCCATTCTCTTACCGAGCATTGAATTAATTCAAAAGATTCTGTCTGGCACAATTTATCGACCTTATAATAAGATCATATGAAAAATTAAAAAAAAAAATAGTTTATTGTGCTAGTCACCTGTTCTATTAATAAAATATTAAAAATTTAATTTCAGTAATTAAATTTTAGATTAAAGGGCATATAAGTCTTTGAGCTATAATTAAAAAAATTATCCTAACTCCTAATGTCAAACTGTCTGATGGAGACAGTAACTTGAAATTACAGGTTCTAAAGTCTAGTTAGAATCAAAGGTCAGAAATTTATTTAATATTTGTGCTACCACGTTTAAATCACCTCATAAAGAGAATCAAAATTTGAAAAGATGCCTTCAGTTAATTGACTTAGTAGTCGAGCTAACTTTTAAAAAGATATAAAAAAATCTCCGTCTTCCTCTTTCCTCTTAATGTAATCTTAATGCAGGGTTATGTCCCATTTAATGGCAAAAACCAAAAAAAACTTGAAAAGACAGATAAGGAAATTGAATGCCTCTACTCTATAGAAGGGGAGTTATTTGCAACTGCAAGTTGAGGTTGTCAGCCTAGGTAGCCGAACCTTGAGGTGGTACGTTTAGAGTTGGCAATGCTGGTTCAATCTGATTCGGTAATCTCAAGCTTAATTAAGAGGTGGCAAATTAGCGCTAAGATAATTGAGGTGATTAAATTCACATAAATCTTAAGATTTTAGATCGATTTGATACGTTAATTTAAATTAAAATAATAAAATTATCTCGTTTGGTTGATAAGTTATTTTTTAGAAAGAAAAGTTTATATTATTGTTATAACCATAAAATGTTATTGACACATCCTTATTTTTTTTAATTATAATTAATTAATTTTTTTAATATTTATTTGTATCTAATTAAGTTTTTATTTAAATAAAAAATAGCATTATTAATTTTTTTGTCAACTAAATAAAATTACATGTGATATCAATAAAATATATAAAAATTTGATACGTGATGTAATTAATATATGTAAAAATCAAATAAAATAAATTTTTTATTTCTTTTTTCTTCTTTATTTGCTTTGTTTCTTTCTTTCTAAGATTCCTAAAAAAATTTAATTAATTATAATTTGAGACTTTACTTATTAAATTTTATCATGTGATTAGATTTTATTTATTTAAACATTTAATTGAATCGAAATAGAAAATTAAAAGCTTAATTGAGTGCAATAAAATGTTAAGAGCTTAAATAATTATTAAATTATAATTCAACGGGTTTTTATCTCTTTAGCCTAAAATTTAAATCTTTGATACTTTCAAATAGAAAAATAAAACACTCAATTTTCAAGAGAAAACAATAATCAATGTTCTTGCTTCTAGCAAATTAATTCACATCAGAAATAGACTCGTATTTCATTACAAGACAATTTTTATTTTTTTAATTATGTTTTAAATATGAAAGAAATAAAATTTTTATGTTAAATTTTAATAGATGACAACATATAAATAAATATAAGTGTATTTATTTTTAATATAAATTATAACTTAATTATATAAAAATGTAGTTTTTTATTAAATTAAGGTGATAAATAATATATTTATAATATAATATATATAAATTAAATAATAAAATATATTCTCTTATATATCCCTCAGAGGGTCGAGTATAACACCCCAAATCTAACCTTGATTTTATCCAAATTGTTTAAAATGATAAAACTTAATTCAATTCTTAATTTAAAAAATCATATCAATTCGATCGTAATGAATAAAAATTTATTGGATATAAAATGTTTTATCATTCTTGCATATACATATATATTACAAAATTTATCTAATAAATAAAATTAAAAAACAAAGAAAATGACAGATGAAGTTATTTAAAGTGTATTTATTTAAAATATTAAATAATATTTTTAATAAAATACTTCTATAAATATAAAATTAAATAAATAATAAAATATATTTTTTATATATACTAAAATCGAGACATAACACAAAAAACTTTACTCTTACACAAGCTCAATTTAAAAAAAAAAAACTCAACCCAATTATTTCAAATTAAAAGCAAGTGCAACAATTGGATTGCATAAATTAAGACCAATCAAATACGAATTATTTTGTTATTTTTATTTCAATTGATTTTTTAATATAAAATTTATCTAACAAAAATTACAAGTAAAAAAACTAACAAAAAAAAAAAAGAAACAGCAAAAAAATCACAAGTTTTAAAAAAATAAAGAAAATAAAAAAAGAGAGGTGCCAAGTAGATACTTAAAACGGGATGAAACACCTTAAATTCGTCTCTAACCTAATCATATTTTCAAAAAAAAAAAAAAGACCCAATCTTGATTTAGAAAAAATGCATCTATTTTGGATCGATGCGAATCAAAGTCAACCGATTACAGATTATTTTATCATCCTTATCTCCATGAACTTTTTTTACAAAATTTATTTAATAAAAATAAAATTTAAAAACTAAATAAAATGTAAAAAAGTAAAAAAAATTAAAAATAATAAAAAATAAAACAAACTATTTAAAACAATAAAAAAAAAAGTAGAGTTTTGAAAGAAGTGAGAGGTGCCACATAGACACCCTCTCTTTCTTCCATTCTCTACAAAATTAATTGCATGCATATTCACTTTATATTGTGACTTGGTTTGCTTTTGTATTATATATTTTCTATGCTTTGAGATACCTCTTTCAATTCCCAAAATCAAGTTGGAACTTGGAATGGTTTCGAAAGACGAAAATGGACAAATATTTCAAGATGTTCAATTGGAAATATGGATATCCACCGCCTTTATTGTCTTCTAACTTACGTTTTATAGCTCATTCAGTACTGCAAGTCGGCTTTTGCAATAAGCAAACGAATCACATTAGCAGCTATGAACAAGAGAAATTCCCCTCCCCCCAACCCCCCTCCTGCCTATTTTTTTAGTTGTATTTTGTTTTCAAATTAAATTAATCAAAAATTAAAATAAATAAAATTAATTTGGTGATTGATCAATTAATCAAATTAAATCAATATAAATGATCAATCAATTAATTAATTAAATTCAATTAATTCGATTAAAACCAAAATATAAATACCCCTAATCAAAGCTAGTTAAGTTGAGCAGCCAAAAATATGGACAGTGTACACAAGAATCCAAGAGCATAGAAGACCAAAGGAAAGAGAAGATTTAAAGAAAGAAACTGTATACCATGGAATATTTAGTATTACATAGCTCCTCATTGGAGCAAGACACAGCCCTTTTCTTCCAACCTTGAATACATAAGAATGGAAAAGTAAACAGGGCAGGAAAAGGAAAGTTGTACCACAGACATATTGTCCCTGTCTATAAAGTTTAAACTAATTAGTTCTCATTTCTCTTCATGACCTGCATATGTCATTGAACTGCAACCTTGCTTCCAAGCATGGCTCCGGTTCTAAACTGTATAATGTTGCTGGATTGTATCAATGTCCAGCCCCTTCAGCTTCACCACCGACTCGACATGCCCTTTGAGGGTATGAAGCTCTCTAAGCCTAAGGCAGACAGTGGAATTTTTTTTTTTTGGTTAGTACTAGAATCAATAATTGTGCCAGACGATCTAAATTACAAAGATGAACAATTTTAGCTATTACTAATGAAAGTAAATTCATAGGAAGGGTAACTGAATGTGTACCTTGCAACTTCTGCTCGTCTCTTGGCCTGTTCAGCAATCTCAGACAATTCTCTATAGCTGTTCTTGTCATTGAAGAGATTTGTAGTTTCTGGTGGTTGAAGCCCATGTAATGTCCTTTGAGCAAGAGCCCATTGAGCTTCTCTCTCTTCCTTGCCATAATCTTTCTTGGTGGTGAACGCAGTCTGTGACGGGGGCTAGTTTTAGTAAATTTTTCAACTGAAAGCAAAGTGATATTTTTTTGAAGTAATCTAATACAAGATAGGTATACCTTATTTTCGAGTAAGTTGAGCCAAGCTTTTCCACTTAAGATGTAACGAATGGCAAACTTCATTAGATCCAGTGGAATGTAGAAAACAATACTGTAAAGCCATATGACACCCGCCCATCCCCAACCAATTCCTTTAATCCTTGCAAATCCCCAGTTAGCATATACAGCAATCAAAGTAGCAACCTATGAAACACAAGAATTGATTAGCTTATTGTATTGTGCAACTTTTCGTCGCACTCGAAATTGGATATAGGGAAAAGTAAATTCTTACCAGCTGTGCAATCATGAAGGCTGTGACCAACAGCAGTCCAGGACGCTCAACAAAGGACCAGCTACGCGATCTGGTCACAAAAATTAGAGCCTGGCTCACAATGCTCACTTGTAAATATAAAGCAGCCATCATTTCATGCTCCCTGCCCCTTAGAGACCTAACACCAAATTTGTCCTGTATTCGTGGATAGGAACTGTTTGAGACTAAACCGAAATAAAAAATGAACTTTGAATCCATCGCTTAAATATCAACTGCAAATTTCGGCACCACCTACCGTAAAGAAGTTATTATCATGCATAGCCCAGAAGAATATGACAGTCATCAATGCCAAGTAGCCTCCAAGCACAATTCCAGTGGCAAAAATTTCTTTCAGTTTCCAGCTATCAGGCAAGGGTGATGGCTTTACTCTATCCTTTGAGATTGTCATAATAGTTCCTAAGTAACATTCAAATTGATTGATGTCAATACTCACTTTCAAGCCAGTTAAGCATATAACATAAGAACAAGATGAGCCATGTGAAAATTATGATAATCCACTTTATAGAATCTCACCATCATTTAGAATAGCAATGATCAAAACCATGAATGGAGAAAAATCGAACTTCCAGATGAGAGCAATAAGCATAAATCCAAACTACAAAATCAGAAATAAAAGGTCGTATATATGAATAAATACCCGCATGTTAAAGTTATGGATAATTAATTCATATACAATCATTTGTTATGTACTAACCACAATACGGATTGTGATGGAGACCGCATATATCTGTTGAAGTAAAGAAAGAAACGGTCATACATTGCAAAATACACTGCATAAATCTTTAGAATATGTTTAAAGACAAGAGAGCAACTCACAGTGTAGTTTTTCATCCTCTGGAAAATTGCTCTGCTAGTTAACACTGCACTGATAATAACACTGAGTCCAGGTTCGGTAAGAACAATGTCTGAAGCACTTCGTGCGGCATCTGTAGCATCAGCCACAGCTATACCAATATCTGCCTTCTTTAAAGCAGGAGCATCATTAACACCATCTCCAGTCATTCCACAAATGTGCTTCCTCGCCTGCAACTTCTTCACAATTTCGTATTTGTGCTCTGTAAAGTTAAGTGTGATAAATAGGTGTTATGTCACTCCAGACCCCAAAAAGAAAGTGATGAAGAATTTCTCGTTTTTGAATAGCCAGGATGCCAAAAGTAGTTACCTGGAAACACGCCAGCAAACCCATCTGCCTTCTCAATCAATTCTTCCACAGGAAGGGCAGCTATGCTTGCATCCTTGTCTTGACCTAGCAAAGAAGCAGATGGATACATGTTTGTTCCCATTCCAAGTCTGCGGCCAGTCTCCTTGGCAATTGCAAGTTGATCACCTGTCCAGAAATAAAAAAAAAAAGTATAAGTGAGCAATTGCCTCAAAGAATGAAAGTGCTTGTGATAGAATTGTCCATAGATGAACTCATTAAAGGATTCAGTTACCCGTGATCATCTTGACATTCACACCAAGATGAAGAGCTCTGCGAATGGTTTCTGCACTGTCATGCCTTGGAGGATCAAACAGAGGCAACAAACCTACAAACTGCCACGGAGTTCCAGCACTTTCTTTTGTTTTTTCTGGCACTTGCTGGAAGTGTAGCAAATGAGAAAGGGTAAGGAAACTTTTCAAAATTGAAATAGCAGAATAGTGATTAGAACATCATCAATTCTAGAAAAACCTGTCTGGCAACAGCTAATGACCGTAGCCCACGATCAGCAAACTTGTCAATGATAGAATGAACCTTCTTTTTAAGATCTTCTTTTGCATTGCAAAGCACCAAGATCTGTTGACAGATATGAAATAATTAAGACACAGAAACCCCATAAATTTATAATTTTCTATATTAATGCAATGTTTATACCAGCTGCAAATAGTAATAACAAGGTTACCTGTTCGGGAGCACCTTTGCTCGCTCGGTGCCAGTTGCCGTTGGAATCAATGTAGGTCAAAGCAGTTCTCTTGTCCACAGGATTGAAAGGAAAGAAGTGCACCTCTCTAATACCAGCTCTTGCCTGTGTGAATAACATATTTAACATAAACATTCCCCTTTCATTTTAGGGTTTTAGCAGAGTCAAGAAACAGAACAGGAAAGAGAAGAAATGGCTATACCTCCTTAGGGTCAGCAAGCATTCCAACAATGGCAGCATCAATAGCATCTTGATTTTCTATTCTAGAGGCCCTTGCAGCAAGCAGGACAACATGCTCCTTATCCGCATCCTTTACAAACACCTCAATCAAGTTTTTATCAACACTCAGCTTGTTAAGTGTCAGTGTTCCTGTCTTATCACTACAAAGGACATCCATACCGGCCATTTCTTCAATGGCAGTCATACGCTTGGTGATAGCACCTTGTTGAGACAGCCTGTGAGATCCAATGGCCATGGTGACAGACAAAACAGTGGGCATAGCAATGGGAATACCACCAATCAAGAGAACCAAGAGATTATCGATTCCATCCCTGTACTTGCGGTGCTGAATTGGATACATGACTATGATCTCAACCAACATACCAACGGCAATGGAACAAATACAGAAGTTTCCAATAGCAGTGAGCACCTTTTGGAAGTGTCCTACTTGGTTGGTGCTATCCACAAGATGTGCTGCCTTCCCAAAGAAGGTATGAACACCGGTAGCAATAACAACAGCTTCGATTTCACCCTGTTTGCAAGTTGAACCAGAGAAGACTTCATCCCCAGGATTCTTGCTCACAGGAAGTGATTCTCCTGTTAGGGCAGATTGATCAACCTTCAAAGGATCACCTTCAAGAAGACGGGCATCAGCAGGGATGATATCTCCCAACTTAATGCTAATGATGTCTCCCGGAACCAGAATTGCTGCTTCTTGCTCACTCCACTTGCCATTCCTAAGCACCTATATTTCATCGCCATATAAATTCACGATCAATTTCATCATATTCGAAACAAAAATAAACATTCAAAACTACAATAACTCTTAACCATCACAAACTTTCTGACATGCATTGGACATAACTAGCCCTCAGATAATCCACCACATGGGCAGATCCACATGTTTATCTAGGGTGTCCTTGGACACTTCCAAAGATTGGAAAGCAAGAATATTTGAAGGAAATTTTCCACTAGACACCTTTTTCGTTGATAAAATTGGAAAATCCATCAACAGTTTTTTTATATATATTATAAACGTACATCCAAAAAAAATTATTGAATCAGCCACTTATCCACCGTGTGCATAACTTTATGTAACAGGTTTAAGACATCCAGAATTTCTCTTGGCTAATTCTTACATAAACACTGGCCTGGCCCTATTTTAGTTGTCTTTTCGTAAAAAAAAAATAAAAAATTAACTCTTCCATAGAAAGTGTATTAAGAAATCTCGTTATTACCTTGGTTTTTGGAGCAAGACCAGCCATAAGAGCAGCTGCAGCATTGCCAGCATTGTTTTCTTCAATGAAACTGATGGTAGAGTTAATTACCAACAAACAAACAATACCGACAAAGTCTTGCCAATCCGGGGGCTTCCCATCACCGTTGGCCAAAGCAATGGCCATGATGGCAGCAGCTTCCATGACCCATGAGAGGGGATTCCACATGAACCCCAAAAACTTGAGAATTTTGCTTTCCTATTCATTAAAAAAAATATAATATTCCAATTTATGAGTTACAGTCAATATGAATTGATAGGCCACTATAGATTGCAAGCAAAACAAATAAGACCTTTTTCTCCTCTAGCTTGTTGGGTCCAAAAATCTGAAGCCTGTTGGCTCCCTCTTCCGCAGTCAATCCTTCTCTGGTACATTTCAGCTGCTCAAACACTTCCTCGATCGGTATTTTTTCCTGTAAACCAAGCCATTATTAGATTTAATATTTTTAATCAGATATGATCATATTATTTAAAATTTAAAAAAACATTATACTTGAATTTTTAAAAAATATATTTTGTATTAATATATTAAAATAAATTATAATATAATAATTTTTATATTTTATACATATTAAACATAAAATATCCGCAAATTCACGTAAATTATCGTAATCATCGTGACTTTGAGATCTGCATCATGTTTATTCAATTGTGTCAAAAATAATTTTCTGAAGCTGACAAGCCGACGAGGTAAGGTGGGACCAAGCGGACTCGTGATTCAGTTGGGGTAAGCTACCGAGATGAAGTAAAAGCGTTGAGTCAAACTGTGACAGGACCAAAAAGTGCCTTGGCAAGGCTGTGGGGAAGCCCCCACTTTTTCCACATGTGATTTGTCCGTGCAAACCACGCTCCATTCTAATTGCAGTGTATCAAAATTAGAATATAATAATGTTTAAATAAAGTTAATTTTTTTATATACAAGGTAAAAAATAAAAACTAGATTGTGAAAATATTTTAATTTACTAATTTGTGTGAAGAATTGATTCATCCAAGAGAAAAGCAGGCAGTGTCAGAGCCATTAAATGTAAGAGAGGAATTTTTTTAACATTAAAGGAAGAGAAAAGGAAAATTCTGTTTTTCTAAAGAGGGAAAAGGCAAAAGTACCACGGAAAAATTCCAAACCCTGCCACTTACCTGTCCTCTTCGCTTTTTCACATGTTAAATCCACTTTTGGAAATTAACGGAGCTCCTGTTTGGTTACAGAGAAAATTTTGGACAGAAAATACCAGTAGTATTTTCCACAATTTGATTGTATATAATCCAAAATTATTTCTTTACCACCCAAAAAAAAAAAAAAAGGTTGAACAGTTCAAAAATCAGACAAAATCTCATTACTCTCTGATTTTTGTCACATGGACTAGAAAGGACTTCTCTCCACTTTAATAGCACATGCTGCGTATTGTAGTTCAAAAAAGTCAACCACATAATCGAAATATAAATTTTCACATTATTTTTAATTTATAAAATATTTTTTAATAAAATCATGAGGTTGGATGAATCAAACAGTTAAAACCTTACAAAATTGTTTTGTCGTGTGGCGTAATAGATTTTTTAGGAATTCGATTTATTTGACCTTTAACCTTTTGAATCCTTCGACCTAAAAAACATTAGATTCAGAAAATTAGGTACTTTAGATTGCTTACCTTAACTGAAAAGCGGAAATTTTGTGAAAAAAATGACTATTGAAGACTAATCTGATGGAGTTAGAGAGAGCAAGAGGTAAAAACTCATTCTTTCTTTCATTATCAGTACCACAAAGTAAAAAACTTTTGAATCCGAATGAGTAAGTTCATATAATTATTTTAAATATATATATTTATTAATTTTAAATTTTAAATTTTAAATTTTAACACCTATAATATTTTATCGTTAAACTTTAGTCTTAAAAAAAAAAAAAGAAAAACGATTTGGAACTCATCAAAGCTGCAGTGGAAGGAAAGTGTGCGGAAGGACAAAGACACCAAAGAACAGAAAAACCCTAAAATGGACTGAAAAAGCAAACAGCTTGGCAGAACACAGATGTTTTAGATAACTGAGAAATTAAAAACCCAAATTTTTTTTATCAGGAAGAAGAAACATGCAAGAAAAAAATGGAGGGGGAAAAAGCTAAGGGAAATGAATAGTCTTACCAGATCAACAGTCTCGTTCTTGATCTCTTCAAGACTGATAGCTTTGTCGCCACTCATGTTTTGATTCTACAGCCACCAGCAGCAACAACAGTTAAGAAAAGGGTACTACTACTAATCAAATCAAAAGCAAAGTAAAAGAAGAGAACAATTAAAATCGCCTAGAATTATGAAATGAATGAAGAGAGAGATTGGAAATGGCGTGGGAAAGTAAAGACCATTCAATGAGATTTTGAGAATCCCAAGAAACAAAATGAAAAAGGGTTGGATTGGGTTGAGTTGAATTAAGTTGAGTTGAGTTGTGGAGGCTAAAAGATATAAGTTTTTCTATGTGTTTTCTCCTCTGCAGAAGACTGCTTGGCTTTTACACGCATATATATAGCTCGCAAACTACAGAAGAGGAGGCTCGTAATTAAATCATGGTAAGAGCCTCCCCTGTACCCCGCCTCTCTTTCTCAACTTTTCTCTCTCCTCTTACCCCTGACCCTGAGTTGTCTGTTCATCTATGGATCGTCATTCATGGAATCATGTCTCCGCATGACATTTCCCATTTCCATTACACGGTAATAACTTATAACTAAATAAACTTTTAAGGAAATGCCAGTAAGAATTCGTTTTCAAACTTTAAATTTATTATATTATAATTTTTAAAAATAATTATATAAATTAATTGAATTAAATTTTAAATTTAATTTCTTAAAATTCTTAAATAATTAAGCTTGGTAAGTAGTATTTTATTTTCGAAAGAATAAAATGGTTTTGATTTTGTAAACAGTCAAAAGAAAACGTATGGAGACATGTCATGGTGTAGAAAAAAGAGACCGTTGGCAGTTGCACATGGAACAAATATAATATAATTATAGAATTTACAAAATAAATAAGTACCTCGAATGTTACGGGAGAGAATTGACTTTATAATTTTGGTGGCCCTATTCCTTAATAATATGAGAAAGTTAGACTTATTATTTATACCATATTTATTTCGTATTAACATTTAAAAGATAAAAAAAATTAATACATTTTAATTTATGTTGATATATTAAATATTGATAATAAAATATATTTTTATTTTTATTAAAATTTTAAATTATATTATATTCGTGTTTTTTACATATAATTTTCGTATTTTATTATTATATCATATTTAAAAATATTATATTTAATAAGTTTTTTTTTAAATAAACAAATAAAAAATTATCAAAAAGTAAAATAATATATATACAAAACCATGCATGATCTTAAGATTTTTATAATGGAAGGTGTAGACACCTTGATCTGTGGACCCAGCTCCGCTTAATGATCAAACGAAGCAAGAAAAATCTTTTACGCCAACCCCCTTTTCTTAATTCCTTTTATCTTATCCGCATATAAATTTCTGATCCCACGAGCAAGTTCATATTTAAAGAGGATCCGAAATTGAATTCTTTTTGGAAGCTCTGGCGATAATCCAGTTTCAATGTAAAAGCTTTTTGGGCTATTTTCGTTCAACTTTTATAAATTTAGAAGCCTCTATTTTTTATTTTTTTGAAAATATTTGGTGAAAGATAATGAATTTTAAAAATTTGAACCACTTTTTTCATTTTTCAAATAAAATTTCAATTTCATAATTTTTTTTATAAGGTTAGTGTAAAAAGAATAATTTTGAGAAAACAACTCACAAAATATAAGTCGATGGTACTGTTTATGGAATTGAAATGAATAAATGAACAAATCACAATGAAAAGAAAAAGCAAATCAAGGAAAATCAGAGTTGAACTAAATTCAAACATGATGAGAATTTGAAATTGAATCCGAATGCCAACAAGACTTAGTCGATTTTGTTTATAAATATTAGTAGATGTAGATGTTGTTTATAAACAAAATCTACTAATATTTATAAAAATTTAATAGATTTTGCCTGGATACTGATTTGTTATAAATATTGGTAGATTTTGTTTATAAATGTTTATACAATGTTCAATTAAACATAGGATAAGTATTAATTATTGGCCAGAAAAAATGGTATAAATATTAGTAGATTTTGTTTATACATGTGAGGAAGTATATAAGGTAATAAAGGATAGTGATTGATCCCAGTTTTTTTTTTTTTTTTTGTGTTCATTTATAATATATTATGGTGAGAAAAAAATTTGAAAAAATTAAAAATCAAATTGAAATTTTAATATTCAATTCGATTCAAATTATTTTTTTATTGAGTTTGGATTATATTTAAATATTAAATATATATATTAAATTCAGATCAAGAAGTAAAAAATTAAAACTATTGACCTGATATTTTTATATATTTTAAATTTTTATAAAATAAATTAATTATTTTATATTTAAAATTATTAATATTAAAATATATTAAAATAATATAACTTTTAGAAAAATAAATTAAAAAAATAAAAAAACCACGACCAATAGAATGCGATTTGAATTCAGATTGATTTCTTGAAAAGGTGAATTGGAGCTTAGATCAAAAATTGAAAGTCCATAATTTTATATATTATTTGATAAATAAAATAAAATAAAATTCAATTTGAATCACTATCACCCTTACTTATATATTAACTTAACAACTCCCTATGATTTAATTATGCATCTTAATTATTTTAAGAAATTATACAGATATTTTTATTTTATTTTATCTTACTTATGCTAAGAATACTAAAATCAGAGAAATAAATATAAATATATTTTTGTAAAACTGATATTATAGTATTGTTTATTGGTAAAATATATTTTTAAAACAAAAAACAGTTTTAAAAAAATTAAATTAAATTTAAAATTTTTAACAAAATAATTATGTACATATCATCAAACAAATGTTTGATACTTATGTGGCATTTGTTGTCTAGATGGCATTTAACATGTTTCTTTGTTTGTCTCACTTATTTATTTATTTATTTATGTTTTAAAATTATAATCTATTTTTAACACCGAATAATCTTATTTTTAATATTATGAATTTATTTTTCATGTTTTTTAATATTAATTTTGATGTGTCAAACTATTATATTTCACATATATTGATTTTAATCAATAATTTTGAAAATATATATTTTAAATTGAATGTGAAATATGTCAAAATCCATGTAAAATTATATAAAATTTTTGAATAAACACATAAAAGGATTATTGTTTTAATTTTTTATTTACTTATAAATGTATTATTTAGGAACAGTGTTAAATAATAAAAGCAAGTGAGTAAAAAACACTCAAACAAAAAATTAATAATCATTTAAATTTTTAATATTTTATAATAATTAATCAAATATTAAAATTTTATTTTAAATTAATTAAAATTTTAAATATCTATTTTTCACCTAATTAATCTCGTAAATATTTATTTTTGCCATAATTGTATTTTGATTGGACGAAAATTGATTTGATGATTAATCCATTTTCATCTAATAAAAGTTTATTTGATGAAAATAAATATTTAAAAATTTAATTAATTATAATAAAATAACAAAAATTTTGAAAAATTATTGAATTTTTATTTAAAAATTTTTTATCCCTTACCAAAAAATTTTTTTTTATCCTTTTGCCAATAACAAATGTAAAGAAAAAGTTAAAGAAAGAAAGTAAAATAAAAAGTGGGAAAACCCATGTGTTATAGGGGGATGTGCCAATGAGCAGAGCACTGTGGCAGTGAGTCAACTCTGCCGTGCAATTGGAAAATGGTGCACCTAACCTAACCATAGGCTATAGCCGGGCCGTTATTATTGAAAACGTTGGGTTGCGACCAGCTCTGTGTCTGACATTCAGTTACTTGATATGCAACAGTCCAACCGCATGCCGATACCTGTGGTAACCAACTTTTGATTTAGTTTCTCCTCATTTACGTCAGCCATTTCATTCTCACTTGTCTTTAGACACCCTTTTTTTTTTTTTTTTTTCTCTTTCTTAAATAATTAGAATTAACCTTTTGTTTTTTCCTATTTTTGATTTTTTTTTACTTTTCAAAAAATTTGTTTACAGTTTTTCGTTTTTATTATCAGCATCCTGTATAATTTGACCTAATTTTACATATTCATAAAAGCCAATTGAATTTGTACAAGAGACGATTAAGTCTTATCTCATCATTTATAAAATACATGTGTTTTGAGTTCTACTAATATTTTATTGATGATAATTTTAAATGCAGGTAATAAACTTTTTTTAGATACATATCTTGCTTTGGATTAAAGTGCTAGAACAATTACTGATTACTTTTAAATTTGATAATTTAAAATATGATATTATAATACGATATTAAAATATTACAAAAAAATAAAAGTGATATGATTTAAAATTTTTAAAAAATCAATTTAAGTTTAACAAAAATCAAAAAATGTATTTAATGTTTTTTTATGTCTATATGAATTGTAATACATAATTTTTGTATAAAATATGATATGAATATATAAATTACCAATATTTAATGACAGATCTTGATATTTATTTTTGAGAGGGCCAATTATACTATGCTTTATCTCATTTTTTTAAAAAAAAATTATATCACATATATATACTAATAAAAAATAATGAAACACATAAAATATACTAATAAAACCAAGCATATAAATTGTACAACAAAAATATTTCTATGATACTATTAAAAATTTTAAGAATAACATGGTAAAATTACAAATATATAGTCTTTCAATGACTTATAGAAAATTTTCTTGAAATTTTTATAGTTTAAAATTGATATAAAAGAGTATAAATAAATCAATCGTTAAATAATATTTTTTATTAAAAATAAGAAAAATAAATATAATTTTAAAATAATGAAGTTGAAATTTTAAGGTTATGATTTTTTCCTATTTTTTTTAAAAGGGTTAGAATATAATTTTTTTGAAAAAATAAAGATTTTAGGATAGTATTAGATAGAGATCCAAAGTAAAATTAAAAGAAAAAAATTAAAATCATATGAAAATGAGAATTGAAGTAAGCTAGAAAGAAATAAAAAATACATCATTATTACTTTGTCAGAAATTAGAGTCTTATTGAGAAAACTAAAAAATTAATTAGATTTTTGTTAAGTTCAAATAATTGTGATTTAAAACTTATGACAAATCTATTAATTTTAAAGATTTTTAAGTAATTAGTAATTGATTGATACAATAAATAGATAAATAGTAATATGATTTTAATCCCT